GTTCCCATTTCCCATTGCTGTTCTTAGTTCCCATTTCCCACAGCTCTTCACATCCCTCTGGCTCCGTCCCGCTGGCTCTGCCCGTTCCCCCTGCTCACATTGGCGCTCAGGCTGTGCTCGGGGCCTTTCCCCACACCTTGTGGTCAATGAGGTGCTGTGGAATCCCGGTGGCTTTGCGGTGCTCTGAGCTTGGAACGGTTTGGGATGAGTCTGCGCAGAGCCGAAGGCGGATGGGCCGCGTCCCACAGCCGCGTCGCCCCACAAGGCAGAGGGGCTCCTCAACCCTTCCTTTACCTCGGGCGGATTTTGTCGCTGCTCGCGCAGGGCATTTTGGCGCCATGTCCCAGAGCCCCGTCCCCCCTTTCCCGGTTTCCCAGGACCTTCGCATTTGGACGGGAGCCGGAGGGGCCGTCACACCTGGGCGATGCCTGCACCAGATTCATCCACCTCCAGACAGGTTTGGTCATTTGGAGACAAGGTTTATCCATTTCAATGACAGATTTAGTCATTTCCAGACCAGACTGAGTTGTTTCTAGTCCAAATTTCTGATTTCTAGGGCATTTTTAGATAGGATTTGTCCATTTCTGGACCAGGTTCCTGCATTTCTTTGTTACCAGTGCTGTTCAGGCCCTGGTCCCAGTTGGGTGTTTCAGGTTTGCCTCTGCTTTGAGTGTTTGTGGATCTCTATGGGAGCTGGACAAACGCATTCACTTGGAGCCCGTTGGCCAAAGTCAAAAAAAAGAGAAAGAAATCACACGAAACGCGAACCGGTTTGGGATCAGTGCTGTGGCAGAAGGAAAGGATCTTGGCAGTGGAAACTGCACTCTGCTCCGCTTTGCTTCGCGTTTTTGTGCCGCGCGCTGCGACCCCGAGCAAAACCGCTGTGGGGGCTTCAGCTCCGCATGGAGATGGGGAAAAACACAAACATACGTGGAGGGAAGCGGGGAGGTGGGAGGGGGGGGCAGATTTCATTTTGATGCAGCGCCATAAAGGACCCTCGCCTGCTCTGCTGGGGATGGGGCTGCTGGGGGAGGGGGGGGGCTCAGCTCCTGGGGTTTCATGATGGGGGCTGCGATGCGGAGCAGTGGATCAGAATTGGGTGGGTGGATCAGATTGGGGCGAGTGGATCAGATCAGGGAGGGTGGATCAGATTGGGAAAGGTGGATCAGATCGGGAATGGTGGATCAGATTGGGGTGGGTGGATCAGATTGGGGTGTGTGGATCAGATTGGGGCGAGTGGATCAGATCAGGGAGGGTGGATCAGATTGGGAAAGGTGGATCAGGTGAGGGAGGGTGGATCAGATTGGGGTGTGTGGATCAGATTGGGGTGTGTGAATCAGATCAGGGTGAGTGGAGATGAGCGCAGCGCTCTGGAAGTTGGGCAGTGCGTTGCCCACCCCGCTGTGGCTGTGCCGGAGCACCGCGCTGCTCCCCATCCCCACGGGGTCACTGATTGTCCTGCACAGCACGGCGCAGGATCCCCATCTGTCTGCCTGCACAAAGCCGCCTTTCCTGTCTGCAGGGCCGCGCAGACCCTCCCTCCTCCTCCTCCTCCTCCTCCTCCCCCCCTCCTCACACCACCGCTGCACCACGCGTCCTTTTGTCCGCCGCTCCATCTTCCCTCTCTCCTCTCGCCATGCTCTCTCCCTCTCATTCCTTTTTTGGGGTCCCCCGTTGCCCCCCGCACCCCCGTCCTCCCCCATTTGCTCTGGCTCCCCTCTCCCTCATTCCTGCCACCATTCCCCCATCCTTCCCCCCATCTCAGGCTCTGAGTCGCCCTCGCTCACATGTGTTCCTACCGTTCCCCATCTGTCCCCAGCTCGGAACCCCCATCCTTTGTCACCGCTCGGACTCTCAGTGTCACCTCCACAACTGTTCCCCTTGGTGCTGCTCTCTCCCCCCAACACGGCGTTGTCCCACAGCGTTAAAAACCAACCTTGACAGTACCTGCAGCCCTCAGAAGAGGGATTCGTGCAAACCCTCCACCCTGGGGACAGCCAACGGGGGTCACCCCCAGCGCGGTGATCTCCCCTTCTCTCCCCACGCAGTGCTTCGGTGCGACCCTGGGGGGAAGTGGTGGCATTCGGTTCATCTCCCTAAGGCGGATCTCCATCCTCAGAGCCGGCACTGCAGCTGCGGGGCTGATGTGCATCCCCTACCTGGGGACTGCAGACCCCAAACCGTTTGTTCCCCCAGGGGAGCCTTTCGGTGTTTGCATCGCACGCTGTGCTGTGCCTGCTGTGTGCTGTTCTCTGCTGGAGTTTCCCGACTCCCAGCAGCGCGGTGCTGCAGGTCACCGCCGGTCCGCAGCAGCTGCTGCAAAACTTTCCTCAAGAAAACAGCGCAGATGGATTTGGGGTGTGAGCTCAGCGTGGAGCGACGCGTCGGCTGCGCGGGGTCGGGATTGGGTTGGGCTTTGGGATCGTCTTCCTGAGATGCATCTCCATCCTTGGATCCAGCATTGCAGCCGTGGGGCTGACGCGTGGCCCCACGTCCTGCATGGGGGCTGCGATGGCCACACTTGGTCCCATCCCATTTTGCTGCTCCCTTGGAGCCGTTCCTCCGTGGTTTTGCTCTCATCGCACAGCTGTGTCAACGCCCAGCGCTGCTCTTTGCTGGAGTTTCCCGAGTCCCAGCAGCAGAACCTGCAGGCAACCGGTCTGCATTTTGAACACGTCTGCCGCTCCAAAGCAGCTGCTGCAAAACTTTCCCAAAGAAAACAGCGCCGATGGATGTGGGGTGTGAGCTCAGTGTGGAGCGACGCATCGGCAGCGTGGGGTTGGGCTTTGGGCTTTGCTCTTTCTCTGCACCAAATCCCACATTTCCAACCCCCGGAGTGTGAGATCAGCGCCCCGGAGCTGCGCTGGGTGCAGCAGTGTCACCGCGTTCAGTATTCGGGTTTTGGCGCAGCTCAGGGCCGTCCTCTCCATCGTACAGCAAAGGAGCGAGCGCTCAGCGCGTGCAAATAACTGCCAGGAGTTGAAAGCTGTGCTGCGACTCTGCAGCAGGGCTGGGATTTGTGCATCGCGCCTTCCCCACCTGTGCCAAAGCTGCAAAAGGCGTTTTGGAGCGGAGAGCCGTCGTCGCAATGCCCTCCTGCATCGGCGCGGTGTCGTGCGTGCGACGGCAGCCGTGGGGCTGTGCGCCGTGCGGCCGGAGCTCTGGGCTGTGCCCGGTGTGGGGCGCGATTCCTGCCGCTGTGACGGCTGTGGGGTTCTGATTTTACCCCCAGAGGATTTCTTTGTGGTTGAGTCTTCTTGTGTTCCTGCGCAACGGCACAAATTGTGCACCAGGAGATGAACGCTGAGCGAGCGTCAGCCCCGGACATCGGGGAGAGGCGGTGCTGTCAGTTGGGGTCTGGGTCGCACTGGGCTGTGTGAGCTCACCATGGCGCACCGCGCGAGGAATCCGATTTTCTTGGTTCTAGAATCGTCGTTGGTGGATCTTTAGTGGTAGAAGTGTGGTGGCAGCACGGTGTCGGGTGAGTGAGGAGAGAGAGATGGGCTTCTTCTGGGCAGAGGAGAACCAGAGAATTGCTCAGGTTGGAGAAGATGTCCAAGATCGCCAAGTCCAACCCAACCAGTCCTTCATGTGCCCATGGCCAAAGAATCATGGAATCATTCAGGTTGGAGAAGAGCTCTGAGATCTTAAAGCCCAACCCGACCCATCCCTACCGTGCCCATAAGCCAGAGGGTCTGGTTGTCGCTCAGGAACCAGTAGTTGTGTAGGAACAAGTAGTTGTGCAGGGACTGGCAGCCGTGTAGGAACCGATAGTCGTTTAGGGACCAGAGGTTGTGTAGGAACTGGGGTTTGTGTAGGGACTGGTAGTCATGTAGAGACTGGCTGTCACTCAGGAGCCAGTAGTTGGGTCTGAACCGAGAGTCAGCTGTGTGGGAACCCAGAGCTGTGTGGAACCCAGAGCTGTGTGGAACCCAGAGCTGTGCAGGAACTGGTAGTCTTACAGGAACCTGTTGTGTAGGAACGAGCCACACCGCTGCGTCTCAGCCCTTGGAGAAAGCGCCGTAGCACACTGCACAGCCCTGTGTGGGGGAGCAGAAGGACGTTTTCAGGGCTTCAGGAGCTGCGGGAACAGTGCTGGTGGGCTCAGGGGCTCAGCACTGGTGTCACAAGTGGACAACATGGTGAGCGGCCTTGGAGGAAGGCCTGGGCCACCGTGATGGGGAGGGGAGGCGGGGGGACAGCCTCCATCCCCAGCAGCTGCCATAGGGGTTCAGCGAGCAGTGGGGTCTGGTGGGGTGGGATGCAGTGAGCAGTGGGGTTTGTATGGTTTGGTGGGGTGGGATGCAGTGAGCAGTGGGGTTTTGTATGGTTTGGTGGAGTGGGATGCAGTGAGCAGTGGGGTTTTGTGTGGTTTGATGGGGTGGGATGCAGTGAGCAGTGGGGTTTTGTGTGGTTTGGTGGGGTGGGATGCAGTGAGCAGTGGGGTTTGTATGGTTTGGTGGGGTGGGATGCAGTGAGCAGTGGGGTTTTGTGTGGTTTGATGGAGTGGGATGCACAAAATGGCAGCGCCTTCTGGTGACCGTGGGGATGGCGATGGGAAAACCTCCCTCCGACATTTGTCTGCGGGTTTCGCTGCCGGCAGTCACCCATCGGCGTTGGGGGGACCGAAACCTCTCCGCCGTGCTCCGTGCCCCTCAGTCGTGGCTGCTTGACGCTGATTTCCCGTGGTGGAGGGCTGGCGGTGGTGCGGCCTTCCTGACCCTTCTTTTCTCTTTTCCTCTCTCCTCCAAGGCTGCAAGATCAAAGCTCTGCGGGCCAAGACCAACACGTACATCAAGACGCCGGTGCGGGGCGAGGAGCCGGTGTTCATGGTGACGGGGCGGCGCGAGGACGTGGCCATGGCACGGAGGGAGATCATCTCGGCGGCCGAGCACTTCTCCATGATCCGAGCGTCGCGCAACAAGGCCGGCACCACCTTCGGCAGCGCGCCCACCCTGCCGGGCCAGGTCACCATCCGGGTTCGCGTCCCCTACCGCGTGGTGGGGTTGGTGGTGGGCCCGAAAGGAGCCACCATCAAGAGGATCCAGCAGCAAACCAACACCTACATCATCACGCCCAGCCGGGACCGAGATCCCGTCTTCGAGATCACCGGCGCGCCGGGCAACGTGGAGCGCGCGCGGGAGGAGATCGAGACCCACATCGCCGTGAGGACGGGCAAAATCTTGGAGTACAACAACGAGAACGACTTCCTGTCCAGCAGCCCCGACTCCAGCATGGAGAACCGCTACTCGGAGGCCTGGCGGGTGCACACGCCGGCGCCGGGCTGCAAGCCGCTCTCCACCTTCCGGCAGAACAGCCTGGGCTGCATCGGGGACTGCGCGGTGGATCCGGTCTACGAGACGCCGCGGCTGAACGACCAAAACGACTTCAATTACGGTTACCTCTTCCCCAACTACGGCGTCAACAAGCAAGATCTGTACTACGGCGTGCCGGAGTCGGGCGCCCCGATGTGGGCCGGGCAGGAGAACGCCAACCCGGTCTCGGTGCTCTTCTCCAAGCAGCAGCGCTCCAGCAGCACCGGCGCCATCCACCCCAACTCCCACCGCTCGCCGTCCTCCTCCATCCAGGAGCCCAACCTCTCCGCTCTCCCTCGGCGGTCCCAGGGGGAGCCGCTCCAGGGCTTTTCCAAACTGGGGAGCACCGCCGCTGCCCGGACGTCCGTCTCCAGCAGCCGCGAGTGCATGGTGTGTTTCGAGAGCGAAGTGACGGCGGCGCTGGTGCCGTGCGGCCATAACCTCTTCTGCATGGAGTGCGCCGTGAGGATCTGCGAGAGGACTGACCCCGAGTGCCCGGTGTGCCACGCTGCAGCCACTCAGGCCATTAGAATATTTTCCTAAAGAGACAGAGCCAGGGCGGGGGGTGGGAGCGCGGGGGGGGGGCGGGGGGGGGGGGGCCAGGAGAGAGAAACGAAGGTAATAATAATTAATAATAATAATAATAATAATAATGAGACCTGAAGAACAAACGAAGGAAAGGATAAATTAATTTAAAGGAGAAGTAAGAAGAAAAAAAAAAAAAAGAAAATTATTTTACGAGCGACGTAGGTTATTTTTTACAAAGAAAAAAAAGCTAAAGGAAAAAGAGAAGCGGGTGAAGCAGGGAGCGAAGCGCGAAGCCGGGAGCCGGGGGGCAGAGGAGGCTCCACCTGCAGCGCCTCCTCCGAGGACGAGGCTGGGGGCGCGCAGCCACACCTCGCAGCACAGCGCTGCGGCCGCTGCCCTGGGGTGGCGCTGAGGTTCCTCGGCGCTGGATGATGGAGGATGGGGGGGGTCCCCGCCGGCCCCTCGAAGCCCCGCTGCCTCCCTGCGCCACCCCTGAGGGCCTCAGCTGCAGCGGGGCTCAGAAACGGAGAGGGAGATGAGATGAGTTGAGATGAGGTGAGATGGGAACGGCCGTCGGAGATTGGAAGAGAAAAAGGAAAAAAAAAGACAAAGAAAAACAGAATAATAATAATAATAATAATAATATTTAAAAAAAAAAAAAAAGAAACCACCGACCTCTGGGAACCTGTTGGAACGAGGGCACAACTGTATTACCTCAAAGATTTAAAACAAAAAAAACACAAAACCGCAGCAGCTAAAGAGAACTTTGATCGTTTTCCTTTTTTTCTTTTTTTTTTTT